AAGCCTCGCAGATATCCAGCTGCATTTGAGATATCAAAAAAGTACTCCAGAGTGTTGTTCAGCATGGGGGTGAGTAGAAAATGAAGGCTAATCATGTTTTGGGTGTACTATTCCTTTAAGGCAAAACTATGTATCAGTAAGATAAATAGTACATGGCTCATCTCTTGGTAACATCTCAGAGAGAAAAAAAAAAAAAGTAATAACTTTCAAATTGATCAAATTATGATTGCCACAAACTATTACTCATGCCATTTGTGGATTGTTGATTGCCTACAGTTGGTCTCGGTGTGCATATTTCTGGTCTGAATATCTTTGTGAGGGGTGGACAGGGTTGACATGAACTGTCAAGCAGTCCCTCCCACTGGGTTTGGCATTCAGGTACAGCTCCCTCCCTTCATCTATAAAGCCCCTTAAAAGCAATGTAATCTTCAGACAACTCATAGCTAAATCTTAAAGCTTTGGAGAAAAAAAAAAACAACTCTATATTTGACTTTGATTTTCTACATCAAATCCAAAGAAAGACTGTGGTACGTATCATTTCATGCATTTTTAATAATGTTTGATATCTTCTACTAATATTAGCACTTATTAAATTAAGTGCTATTAAGTGTTATTAAAGTGCCTTAAAAAACTTTTTTTAACGTTTTTTTTATTTTTATCCTTTCAGAAACCAGTGACAAGCCAAAATGAGATTCTTTCTTCCCACTGTGATCTTCTGCTGTGTTTTCACCACTATGGTCCCACTTGTGAGAGGTGACCAAAGCCCCCTGATAAAAAAGTAAGCCGCCTCGTGAACAAGCAGCCTGAGGACATTGTGTTCATGTCATATTCCTGTATAGTACTATTAGCAAATAAATAAACCCGAACTGAAATAACAGTTAATTAACATTAGTTTGAGATCTTTTTAAATTTTTTTTACAGATTTAGATCTGAGGTTTATAGCCATGCTGTCTGATGGACAAAAGGAGAAACAATATCAAATGATTATCATTTAAAAATATATATATTTGGGTAAAATGCTTTCTGCTCAACATGACATTTAAAAACAAAAAAAACTTTTTTTTTCAAGATCATGTAGCTAGTTTGAGTTCATTTCACCAATAACATCTTGCTCCCTCCTCTTGATAAACTGATTTTTTTTTTTACAGGCTTAGAGAATCGCTTCAGAAACACATGAGCAAATACCACAGCACACAGCTCAGTGCAGCTAGTGCGCAGACATCTGTGGGGTCATCGCAGAAGGATGGAGAAACATCTTTAACATCAGCAAGGTACAAACCAGAGGAAGGCATCAGTATTCCTTCCAGTTACATTTAGTCAGCTACTTTTACTTTAGTTTTTTTCTGAACAAAATGTACCTGTCGGAAAACTTTCACTGCTCCGTACTTTATCATTTTTACTTGAATGCAAATCTTTTGATTTCTTGTTGTACATTTACCTCATGTTACCTAACTGATCCAAAAATGCAACAAAAATGGAACAGACACACGCCTGCTGTTTATATTTAAAGTGATATTTCATTGTTCTAATGTTATGTCTTTATCGGCTGAGCCTGATGAGTCTTTAAGAGGCCATAATAAGTACATTTTGTCCATGATATATATTATGACAAAAAGTATTTTTCAGTTTTCTTGCAGATATAATGTGCGGAAAATTCTGGAAATGTTAAATTTTTTTTTTTACCCGAATTTGTTATTTTGTGATCATTATTTAAAATTTTAAAATTCAGGTCATCCTTTCAAACAAATTCCATACATATTTATATGGAATCTATCTGATTCCATAATTTTAATATCAGATAGGTTCCAACCATTTCTAAGTACTTGAGTTGCCTCGTTGCTAAATACTGTCTTTATTTTGGTTGTAGTTATTTTGTTATTAATAATATTTACCTCTGCTGGAGTTAACATTCATTCGAGTTAACTTATGTTTATTTAAGTGAAAATGTATGGCATTCTATCTGCCTCTGGTTCACCTTTTAGTGAAAACACATATCTCAGAAAAGAAAAAGCAATTTGTTCTTTTTCTGAAAGCAAAGTACAACGTTGATATCCTCATCAGATCCACCCACATCTGATGCATCTTAAACCTTATTTTGGGGGATTGTGTTTTATTAATCCACCTTTGAGAGTGTTTAAACTGGCAGCAAGAGACAAGTAAAATAGCTCTCTTATTTAAAAAATATGTTAAACACATTATACTATTTACACCTTTATGTGACTTACTTTTTTTTCTTGTTGGAAAACACCAAACAACCAGATAGGAATAGGAAACCAGATAGGAAAAACAATACAAAAAAGTGTAAAATATTTTACTGCTGGTGAATTAATAAAAAGACCTACATTTACATGACTGTGTATTAAAAGTTTAATTTTATCAATGACTGCTAGTGTGTGGCTCTGTAGCTCTTCTCTCCATCGTATCCGGCTCACTATGGCTGCACTATTCAGTCAAGGATTTAATTTGAGCAGTATTTTAGTTTTGAAAAAAACCTTTATTTTGAAAAAAAAAAATGACTTTAGTCTCCATTCCTCTTCTGTCTAATATAGACGCTTTACCCATGTCTGATATTCGGTTTATTGCAGTTATATCAACCAAACAATTTACACTATTATACTTTTAACCAGAAAATCCTGGTTCTGTCGCCTCTTGACACAAATCCTGTTCGCTTGTTGGCAGAGCTTACAATCTCCCGAAACCAGTTTTGCTCTCCTGCCACACATTAATGAGGATCAGAGATCATTTTTATGTAAAAAAAAAAAAAAAAAGAAACCTTCTGGTTGCTCTATGCATGATTAGATTAAAGATTTGTATTTACTTCTTGTCAACGCTTACATACAGATGACATTAGATGTTTTATCTGTGAAAATACAAGTTTAAAAGTTCCGAATACAGGTAATGTAAGTCCTCAAAAAATACAAATACAAAACAAAAAATTTATAGTACAAATCTACAATCCCTGTTGAAGCTGTCACACACCTCTACAGTCAGTGAGTAGAAGAAGACAAAAACAAAATTATCACTTATATCTTTGCTGAAATGTTGCTTTTAATCAGCGAACAATACAATGTTTTGTTTTACATCGTTTCCCTCTTCATTTAAAGGCAGTAGGCGACCTTTTAGATGCATTAACACCATCCACTGGAGAAGAGTGTAACAGCTTCATCAGGGGTTAAAGATTTATACTTGTAAATGACTGATCCTCACTCATGAATTTATGATTTGTACCTGTTAATTAGACTTGTAAAGGAACAGGTCTGATCAATACTCATAGATTTGCAATGTTCACTTGCAAACTTGTGATTCATTCTAATAAATCTGTAGTCTGTTCTTGGAAATTTGTGATTTACACTTGTTTTATTTTAAAGTTGTACCTTTGTTCACTTGTATTCATAACTTCCAAACTTGTACTGTTACAGACTAAGCATCTAATGTAACAGGTATTTATGAGTTGACAAGGAGCAAATACAAAAATAATACATAATTATTTATGACTTACATTGACACATTTAGACAACTATGCCTATGTTTTAGTTGACTATCTTACCCCATAGACACAGCCTTACTCTGTGATCCTGAGGACATTTCGTGGCTTTAGCCATTTTTTACGTTCAAGTAATTAGGTAAAGAAAATAAAAGTATGACATTAAATATTAAAATGTTTAGACATTAAAGTGTTACTGTTGATGCTTATTGGCTCCTCTTCATTTAGAATCACAAACAAACCTGAAGAAAAAAATCCTGAAAATATTTAACCAAAACACAAAGAACTTGCCTAAATTTAGTCAGATATTGAAAAGTAAAATGTAAAAACATGGAAAATATCCAAGGATATATAAGGTTAAGAGTTTAACTTTGAACTGCATGGCTCACTCGCTACCACCATAGTTGATCTAAATAAATATATTAAAAAATGCTATGTTTAGATTTCAATCATCTATTTTTAATAATGTGCACTTTACACAACTGAAAGATTAATCTGTAACTCTTTTGTTTTAGCTTTCAGAGAAACATAAGATCCTCATCATCACCTGGCTGCAGATTGATCACCTGTATAATTCATGATATTGTTAAATATATACCTAAGATCAGATCTCAACGGCCCTGTGCTCCAAAGGATAAGTTGAAAGACACTGGTTATGGACGGCGTCGTCGAATGGCAGACGACCATCAGCTCACCCTACAGACTGAGGGACCAAGGACAAGCACTGAAGCTACTCGGCAAGACGGCAGCAACCAAAACCTATGCTTCAACGCAGTAGAAACTACTCCTGATAGCTCAGAGTAATATGTGTTGGGATTTGACATGAATGATCCTCTTTTAATGGAAAAGCAGCTGAACTTTGAAGACATGAATTGAGGAAAAACTAGCGAAGCAGCTGGAGCTCTGGAAGCTCACATAAATAAACCCAGAACCACTACTCGCAGTAAAGGGACGGCTTTCTGTGCAACGTACACCACTCGTACCGAACCTTTATCTGTTATTTACACCTATTTAACTGCTAACGTGTATATATGAATGTAGATATTATATTTAAACAAACATTATGATTTTGTAAACGTGCTGAAAATAAATATTTCATTTTAACTTGAATTATTCTGTTTGTTAAGTATGTTACCTGATTAGATAATTTTCTTTTCTCTCACTAGTAGAAAAATTGGTAAAACAATAATGTGATGTATATGCTGTATCTGGGCTCATTTATGTCGGATTTGTGTGACAGATGTGTGCTGGAAAGGTTAAAATGAACTAATTAGGTGCTGTGCTGCCATCTAGATTTGAGTAAAAAAAAAAAATCTAAATAAAGGCTTTAAAAAATGAGTCATTTTAGCATTTCTTTATCTTGACATCACTGATTTAAGTCTAGCTGATCTAAAAATACTTCATATATGACTTAACATTATTCATGAATTTTGGCAATGATGGGAACTGTAATAGATTCCACAGAGCCTGCTTTCAACCAGTGTCAGAAACAATAAATAAATACTCCTATCTCATGGCATCCAGATGCATACGGCCGGGGCGTCATTTCGGGACAGTAACATGAAATTCTGACTTGCATTAGGAGCAAAACATGCGCCTCACATTCCTTTCTATAAATAACACAGTTTATCAGCTCCCTGTTTCAACAGAAACACATGTACTAAAATAAAATATGTCCTCTGGGAAGATGAAGCTGGAGTTGAGTAATCCTTAATGTTTCCTGAAAAAAAAAAAGCATGGTGAGATACAAGAAAAACGTACAGGGATTGAAATTATATAGTTGATACAGGATATTTACCCTGGGTAAAATGAGAATGTGACTTGAAAGGTTTTTTCTTACTTAATTGTTTTCTAATGTATTCATTGACATTAGATTCACCCCAAATGTCAAGAACACCACAGAAAATACACAAATGTCATCCGCAGAAGATGTTCCTGGTAAAATATTGTACTGATGCAGAGAAAAAAACACCAACAATTTAATGTCTCAAATAGTTTGTGGGAAAACCCTTCTTTTTCTAAAGTACAAGTTTAGGATGTATCCATAAATTAGTCCCATGGATTGTTTTGTGTAAAAGACTGTCAGTAAAACATGTTTTAATAAGAACATAGACACTTGGGGCATCAGATTTTTAATCTGTGGAGATACAAACTTACAGTTTGTGAAAACAGCTTCCAAAGTTACATCTATGCAAAAATATTAATATGATTCATAAATTTAAAAGTGCAAATCTACCTCCCCTTGTGAAGAAGCCAATTGGTGGCAGTAATGCACCTGAAGGTTTGAAAATTATTCGATAACTGCCTTTAAAGAAGAAAAATAGCAAAAAAATGAAAAGTACCATGAATTTTCCATGTGAAAATCACATGTAAGACACATGTTAACTCATAAAAAAAAAAAGTTAAAAAACAATCCACTGGATTTTGTTTACAAGTTTGAAGAGGTTTCTCTTCCCATCCAGGAAACTTTTTCAATTCAAAATGTCAGGAATAGTCTTTAGTTCAAGGCTTTAAAAAGTTGTTCAACAAAACCTTGTTTTTGTCTTAAAAACATGCAAACTGACAAATGGGTCAACCCCTTTGGAATGGGGGTCGTTTGGCTTCTTTTGTTAGCCTGCAATACCCCATACCTGTTTATGTCTCTCAAAGGGGGGTTGTTAAAGGGAATTATTGGCCTGGCTGAACAGGCAAGGTCTTCTGCTCTCCTCGCCTGGATGATTGAGAACCTTCACCAGCACATGTAAGAACTTGACTTAGATAAACTTTGCCCTTTTGTATACTTAGTGTATACAAAACAAAATATCGTTCAGTACAGCTCTGAAGACATTTCTATTTCTAAGGTGCAACAGTGAACAAATATAAATATAAGACTGGTATATGATTGACAGTTCCTCCCACATTTAGTGCACTTTTTTCCCCCATTTTATTAAACATTCAGCAGTCTGATGGCAGTGGGGAAGAAGCTGTTTCAGAATATGCTGGCCCTGCATTGGCTGCTGTGAAGTCTCTTCCCAGAGGGCACTAGGGAGAACAGTCCATGGTGGGGGTGTGAGGGGTCATTTATGATGTTACGGGTTCGGGACACGCAGCGCAGAGATGAAATATTTTTAATGGAGGGAAGAGGAGCCCCAATGATCGTCTCTGCTGTTCTCACCTCTCTCCTCACTTTCTTCCAGTCTGAGGCGCTGCAGCCTCCACACCACACAGTGAGACAGCTGGTCAGAACGCTCTCTATGGTGCTTCTGTAGAAGGTGGTGAGGATGGGTGGGGGCAGGTGGGCTCTCCTCATCCTCTGCAAGAAGCACCTTCTGTGCCCTTTTGACCAGTGAGGTGGTGTTTACAGTCCAGGTGAGGTTGCATATAATGTGCACCCCCAGTTATTTGGTGCTGTTGACCACCTCTACAGCTGAGCTGTTGATGACCAGTGGATCGTGGTTAGGCCGGTTCTTCCTGAAGTCCAAAATTATCTCCCTCTTTTTCTCCACATTCAGGATCAGGTTGTTGTCTCTGCACCGGCTGCTCCACCTCCTCCCTGTGGATTACATTTGATAGACTTTTTCACATTTGATTCCTATTTAAATCATGTGATTTATAACTAAATCAAATGTGCTTTTAACATGAAACATTTCCAAATCTGCACGCATACGTGTACTGTTGCATGTGATTAACACATGTTCATTTCACATTTTGTGCATGGGTTTTACATATGATTTTCTATTCGTGTGAAATGCATTGGTCTTCTCTGTAAGGGCAGACAGAGCTGGGATGGGGGTCTCAGGGAATGCAAGCTTCTCCAATGTTTCACCAAATGTAATTATAATCATTGCCAAACGCCTCAGTTTTAGTTTAATGAAACCACACGACACTCAACCAAAAATTAGGGTCAGCATTTAGGGATAACTAAATGCTTTTACTGCTCATGTCAATGTTGGGCTGGTGTCAACATCCGTCCAGCTTCAGGCATGAGCGCCACAAGGTACTTGACTAATTTTCTGGGGTCAAAAAGCACTTTTTGCAGGAGTCCATTCATCTTTTTTTCCCAGAATGTTATGGTGAGTGCATAGTGCTATGTTTTTTTCTGCATATAAAGAACTCTGAACGTACAGATGAACCATATTTGTGTGGATCCAAATTTCTCAGAATTCTTGGAAAATTCCTTTAGATAATTTAACTGAATAGGTTAAGTAAATCTCCAGAACTGGCTCTCCATACTGTGGATTTCCATAGGCCTTAGTTTTAGGTCCTCCGCTTTTTACTTCCTTTAGCTGACATTATTCAAGCATTTAATTACATTCTTTAATCACTATTATGCAGATGAATTTCAGTTGTATAAGTCTTTTAACCCCCAGTCTGATCACCCTTGTACCCAGTTTATCTAAATTCTGTGACTGGCTTTCCTTTCCAGCAATCGGCTCGAGTCCAAAAAAATGAGATGATGATCATAAAGCCTCCTGCACTTCAAAAATCACTCAGAGTCTTGGTTTATTTTGACCATCTCCGAAGTCCAGCAAACTAAAATCTAGATGAAATTTTAAATTCTTCTTTGACTTGCTTGTAAATCTTTCACCCCTGTTTCTTTCAATTAAAGAACATTTCGAAATTCTGACAGATGGTCTGCCCACCAGAGTTAGAAAAAGCATTCATGCATTTGTAACTTCGTGATTAGTTATGCTCTTTTAACTGGTTTGAATAAGTCTTCACTCTCACTTCTCCGAACTGTATTGGTGCGTTCAGACCGTGCGTGTTTTCGGTGTCAAAGCATCTTATTTACATGCAAAGTCTATGGGGGACAGTGCTGAGGGGTCCTGCAGCATGTCCGAGCATCAGGAGCGGCACATCCGAGCGTTCTGGCATCGGAGTGTCCCAGATTAAGAGCATTCTGCACTGGATTCCAGAAAATTTTACTTTTGCCACTGTACACCAGAGCGTCAACCCATCAGAAAAGCTGAAACTGGAATTTATTGGGGGAGATAGACACCACCTGCAGAGCTTCTGCATATGAAGAATAATTAAATATCAACTACAAAGGTAAAAAAAAAGAGGACTGGATTGTTATATGTACAAGGAAAAGAGAGGGAGCTCTCATCATTGTTGCTGACGAAAAATATTAAATTGTATTAGGACTGCAACTAAGATTATTTTGCAAATCGATTAATCTGTAGATTATTTTTTCAATTAATTAATGAATATTTGGATAGCCAAAGGTTCATGAAAGAAGATTTTTTTACAAAATTAGATCAGGGGAAACTAAAACATTCCCACCTTCCGAGTATTACTTTTTAGGATTTTGATATAATTACTTGTCGGTCTCTATACTGCAGTAAACGATTAATCAATAACTAAATTAGTTGATGACTATTTCAATAATCAATTAATCATGATTAATCCAATTAATAGTTTCAGACCTACATTGTATATTCTGGTTCCCCACTGGTTGGCCACTGGAGGAAGCTTTCAGCAGGGATTTCCAGTGCTGCTAGCTGGCGGTATGCTGGAGGTCCGGCTATCCTAACCCTGATGAAGTAACTGCACATAGGATATTTGGAGGAGGACTTTCTTGCTTAAACATATCAGATGAAGCCAAACTCCTCTCTAGATTGTAGCCAGAGAACAGAGCAGATGAACAACCCCCAGGGGCCAACCATCCAAAGCATCCAGAGCATCAAAACATCATAGAAACTTCACCACAGTTTGATTCAGCATCTGACCAGCATCCAAATTTCGGCGTTTTTGACGGCGTAGCATCTTTGGTGTGAACGCAGCATAAGAAATACTACAGCCAGACTCATGACTTGTTCTAGAAAACAAGATCAAATTACTCCTATTTTATAATCCTTACACATAACATATGGAGCACAAATAAGTTGAATGAGTTTGCTAAAAAGTCGACTATAAAGTCCCCGCTCTATATGGTAGTTGAGGGATTTAGGGGTTAGGGCGGACATTCGGACACAGTAAGCTTGTATGAGCTATGAGAACAGCAGCTTTCAAACAGAGCGTGCACGAGGAGAAATAGGCTCATGCATGCTGTTGCATGTACATATTTTTTTAAGAGGAGAGGGCTGGTCTTTTAAAAAATTTGCTAAGATACTCCACAATACCTTTAATTACTTACTTTCTAGATTTTTCCAAAATATAGGAACAGCGTGTTAAAACTAAATACTTAATCATCACTAAGTAGACTTCCGTTTAACACAATCTGGACCTACTTGCTAACAAGGCCATGCCAGCATTAACTGGGCTCTCCCAGAATGTTTAAAGGCATAGTTTGCCATTTTTA